AAAAAAACCTGCATAATAATCAGACAAACACTGTCACCACAGAAAAACAGCATTACAGGATAATTCTGGAAACATTAGCTATTATTTCACATTCACCCTTACAACCTGTCAGGCATAATGAGGCGATTAAAGCCTCCTGCAGGACGGGCTGTTCAAAGATGACCGCGGTTACATTTAACACATCATTCAGTCGCCCACACACTGACTTCCTCCCACACTGATCACCAACACTCAGACGGATGGAGCTTTGAATAAAATTGTCAGAGAGCAGCAGGTATTTTCCACCTCTTTCCCCATTCCTACAGGCAGATAAACCAACATCATGTATGATGCGTGTCTGTTTGTGAAAGGTTTCCAAAATCAACATCCACATGGCTGCAACCTTTGTCACACAGGTGTTCTCCTTCTCTTATGCTCTGCTTTTTTATTACATCACTGTTCTACATTATAAGAGACATACTTAACTTTTAGGAATAATCTGTTGCTGCAAGCTTGGTGGGGTTGTGTTCATTGAGAGAAAAAGAAACAAACGCTGCAAGAATACTCCACAGAAAAAACTAAACCAGCCAAACTTTGCTCAGTTATCGCAGAAAGCTCAGTTAATCTTATTTTGATTAACTCATGTTTGCTAACTGGAAGTATGAACCATTTGAGGCGATGCAGCCAGATTCCTACATTGAATCTTAGACAGAATCTGTGGAGGGAGCTACAGATTAAGGTGATGGCAGAGAGCTCATACCAAGCACACATGAAAACAACAGCGGAAACATGCAAAAAGCCGCTCACCATCTACCAGGAATGGTTTCGTTTTTGAACTGAGAGTAAAAAGCAAGAAGATTATGAATCCTTCCCGGTTTTAGGTTTCTTTTTTTATTTCGTGTTCTTGCTCAACAAAGACACATCTACAGGTGAGATATAAAGTAGTGAACCGCCCAGATTCTGGTTATATGTCACTATTTACTAAAATAAAACCTGGATATGAAAGATCTGCATTATAATCTCAAGATAATAGTGGACATTATGAAAGAAAACAATTAAATGAAGCGCTTTGGTTTCTACATATTGGTATTGTCTTTCCCCACGTTTAGTTAGTTGTTTAACCTAGGTCATGTTTTCCATAGCTTCGGTTGTTTTCAGTCCCTCCTCTTATCCTTTAGTTTTTTTCTAGTCATTCCTTTTTTAGTCATTAGTCTGTTCTCTCCTCAAGTTTCTTTTTAGTTCCTTCTAGTTACCTTTAGATCCTGTTGGTTCCACTGGTTATTCTTGGCTGCCCCATAGTACCCTTTGCTTTCGCCTTTCTTCCTCCATGTTGGGGTCCTCTACCAGAGGCCTGGGAGCTTGAGGGTTCTGCCAGTATCTTTGCTGTTTCTAGAACTGCACACTTCTGGACCGAGATGTCTGTATACCATATCGTACCATACCATACCAACTTCATTTATGAAGCACTTTATGCACCGGACAGGACCAAAGTGCCGTACACAATCATAAAATACAATGTATTTCCAGGGATCTGCTGTAACTCCTCCAGTTTGGGGCCCCCTGCCCCGAGGGCCCCAATGACCACGGGTTCCATTGATGCCTTGACCTTCCAGGTTTTCTCCATCTCTTCTCTGAGCCCCTGGTATTTCTCTAGTTCCTCATGTTCCTTTTTCCTGATGTTGCAGTCACTTGGTATCGCTATGGCAACCACAATGGCTTTCCTCTGCTTTTTGTCCACCACCACAATGTCCGGTTGGTTTGCCCATTCAGTCCATCTGTATCTGGAAGTCCCACAGGATCTTGGCTTGGTCATTCTCTACCACCTTTGGAGGTGTTTCCCACTTTAACCTTGGGGTTTCCAGCTCATACTCTGCACTGATGTTCCTGTAGACTATTCCAGCCACTTGGTTATGGCGCTCCATGTTAGCTTTCCCTGCCAGCATCTTCCACCCTGCAGTTATGTACTGGATTTTCTCAGGGCCCTCTTGGCACAGTCTGCATCTGGGGTCTTGTCTGGTGTGGTAGATCTGGGCCTCTATTGCCATAGTGGTTAGGGCTGCTCCTGTGCAGCCTTGATTGTTTTTTCTGTGTTTGTCTCACTTCCTCCACCAGGAGGCGCCTGGTTCTGGTCCCTACATACCTGCTGATGGTTTCCTCATTAACGGAGCGCTCTTAAGCTGCTGACTGCCACTACCTCCACGCCAGAGTGTTTGCCAGTTTTGTGTACTCTAGCCAAGCTGAGTTTTGCTGAGTCAAACTGACTTCTTGTCAACCTGAGTTTTAATCTTCTCAGCAGGAAGTCATCCTGCAAACTGGATTTTTCGGACCTTCTCTCCCTGGAAGGAACATCTGAGCTTCAAACTGAAGGTTTGAACCCACTTTCCCTCAAGAGATCATTTAAGCTTCACACTGAGAAAGGGATTCATCTCCACTACGACCCGTTCAATTACCGCCGGAAATCTGAGTGGCAGTCAGCTTCTCCGTGCGCCAACAAACAACCGCATTCTGGGTAAACCCTGTTCCGCCCTCCACCGAATCAGACAAACACGGGAACTACCGCACACAGACTGGAATCAAAGAGTCAGCTACTTCTCTGGAAACGTGAGTTTTCTACCAAAAATCTCTTCTTCAAGTTCAAGGATCAAATTTCCTACTGAGCCTGAACTAAACGCGGTGTCTTTCCCTCACCTTTCAGTTCCAGTTGAGCAGTGTTCAGAGCAACACTGGATTCTTCACAAACTCCTAAATAAACCTGTTAAACCTTTCTCTTGGTCTCTCTGCATGTGGGTCCGAGCTCTTGATAAAATCATGACACTTTTGAAATAGAGATCCAGAAAAACGACTGCTAATCTTTTGATTTTGTAAACCCATCCTTAACATTGGTATTCCCTATCAAAGCACTCCCACGTTCTTTATAAAAAGATGTAAAAACAGCTTTTAGGATCATTTCCCTGTCTTTGACTAATCATTAATTATACATATTAAAAGCAGGGGCAGAGAAAACTCTTTATTCAAAAAGACAAATTGATCACGAGTTTATATTTAAAACCAACTACCAATTTTCTACTTATTAGTGAATAGCGCAATTAGCACAGCTAGCATTAAAAAAAGGCAGTCTCTGTTTGGAAAACCCTTAGCTTAGCTAAGATGAAACATTTTTACTTCACTCCAGAGAGAAGCTGAAACTTTTTTGTAATATAGTACTATAGTATAGCCTTCCTGTTAGCTGTTGACAATCTTGGTTTCTCTCTATATGAGCTAAAACTAATTCAACTTGGAAAACAAAGTTCAGTGGTTTGTTTTTTTGGTTTTTTTTTGGGATGCTAAAACTAATTATTCCTCTATGTTACCTTAAAGCAACTTATTGTTACTGACATAAGCTAACTATATAGCCTTTCAAAACAACAGAATTCACATTGAAAAGATTGTATTTTCAGTAAAAAAAATAAACCCTACCACTAGCTGTTCTCTACTTTGGACATTTCTTTTGAAAAGGCTGTCCATAAACTCCATTTAATCCAAAGAAAGTATTATTGTGCTAGCTTGTTAGCACAGTCTGGTGGCTCCATATGCATGTAAGGTGTGTTCAGCTGCTGAGGAAAAGCTGCAAACCGACTCCAGCAGAAGTACGGCAGCCTCTCCTGGTAATGGTATATATAAAGGGCAAACCCAGCTTGAGTAGAAAGGTTTTGCTTTGTATCGCTAAAATAAAGCCATAAACCATATCAGGTAGCCTCAGTTACAACTGTTTATTCAGTAACTACATCAAATGTTTCCCTGCATGTCTGCAGAAAACATCATTATAATCGACATTCAGAAGAGGATCGGAGAAAGATCCTTCATTTTATTTAGTTCATATTTAATTTCCTGTATTTTTCATTTACATTTCAATCATTTTATATGCATGAAAAAACACAATAGTGATGCTTTTAAAATGTAAAGATTATCAAAAGCTGTCCCTCTCCATATTAATAACTGATAGTGAAATAGTAATGGTTCCTAATGAGGAAGAATCAAAATTCAATCTGATTTGTTTAGATTGAAGGTAAAAAGAGCAAATATTGATCATTTAAATTGGATCCATAATACCAGAACAGACAGAAAGGAGAAAGGTTGATTCCAGTCTGATTGTTAAAATGTTTCCTCCTTTTAGTATCTTATATCTGTATAATGCTGTATTATATTCCTGTTAATATTTTTATCTTAAACTGCATGATCTAAAATGTGGGAATTAGCAAAACTTCCTTTCATGCTGGGTTCGTCCTGGAAGCTGCATGTCGGCAGGTGGAAAAATCAGTGGCGGCGGCTGCAGCGCCTCACTACAACTGCTTCAGCAGTGAAGTGCATGGCAGCCCATCCCTCTGCTCATCTGTCCACCCCCAGCCGTGCCTCCAGAGAGCTGAGCTCTCCACTAAACGGACGCCTGGGTCTCTTACCGGTCTCTGAGGTCCGGTCGGCTCTGACTCTCTCCTGCGTGGGCGTCCCGACGGCAGCGAGTGACAGGGCGACTGTGCGGGGCTCCCGCCGCTTCTCCTCGATGCCTCTTCTTCCGTTAGCGTTAGCATCCCGCGGCTGCTGTCGCGGGTGTGAGTTTTGGGCCGAACCACCAGCTCCCCTCCTGTAAGAACACAGAATGTTGAGACTGCAAGAAGAGATGATCTGGAGGAAGTTCTTCTCCTACGGGGTTCCATCCACTCTTTAAATCACATCAGAGCCCCTAGCATGATGCTACCACCACTGTGTTTCTATATGCTTCTTTCTATAAGCTTCTTCTCTACAATTCAAGGCGTTAAAAAAAAAACAGAATTAAATATATATAACAAAAGAAAAACTTGCTTTCTATCGCAGTTTCTAAAAAAAAAGAATTAGCTAATTTCACCTCCAGCCCTCAGCCGCCTCCTCTCCTCCTGCTCCTCCAGGGGGCGGAGCTCCTCGGGCTCCTCATCAGTGGTTCCTGACGTAGTGGGATGGAAATCCCGCAGCTCGGCCTCTTTGTCGATGATCACCCACTCTTTGCTGTCAAAGTCCTCCTCCTCGGCCAGCGGGACAGACCGTATGAAAGCGTTGCTGTGCGCCTCCTGGTCAACAGACGCCACCGACACCTCTTGGCGTCCGCTGGCCTGACGATCGCCACGGCAACCGGGGTCCACGGAGAGCATCTGAGCTGGTTGAGAGGAGTAAACATGACGAGAGGGAGATCCCAGCATGTCCATCCTGGATCTGGAGGAAAAACAGAAATCATTAGAAGCAGAGAAACGTGAAATTCTTTAACATTTAAACCCTGATGAGCTTGATGTTGATTTCTTAATTATTTTTATTTTTAGTTCAGTCGTGGCTTCAATCCACTGATCCTGTAAACGAAGCCACCCAACACTCATGAGGAAGAGTGTTGGGGGAACACATAACAACGGCGTTGGTAACTGTAAGTTTATCTTTAAAGGGACATTGCGTAACAATTTCCCTTTTTTAAAATGATTTATTGAATTCATTATTTAATAATAAACATTTTATATTTAATAACTGAACATCCAGTCATATATGAATCAATAGCTCTGTTTCCAGGCTCTGTTTTCATAGACTTTTACCAGTGATCTAATGTTATGTTTATTAAATTAGAGCT